AAGTGCAACCAGGGGAGGCTCGTTTTGGACTAGAATTAGATTGGGAATAGCCGTGGCGTGACCAGGTGTTCGGGGCCAAGATGAGCGAAACCAATGGCAACAGACGTCCTTTTTTTTTCTAGGGATTCTGAGGCGGCGTTTGGCAGCGAAAGTGCAACCAGGGGAGGCTCGTTTTGGACTAGAATTAGATTGGGAAAAGCCGTGGAGTGACCAGCTGTTCGGGGCCAAGATGAGCGAAACAAATGGCAACAGACGTCCTTTTTTTTCTAGGGATTCAGAGGCGGCGTTTGGCACCCAAAGTGGAACCAGGGGAGGCTCGTTTTGGACCAGAATTAGATTGGGAAAAGCCGTCAAGTTTCCATTTTGATCGTAAGTCTTGTCGCCAGCCATCGTGAGAATATTGAAAGCTTTACAGTAATTTATTGCATTCTGAAGTGTACCTGCTTCAACTGTTGAACAACCCGTCCAATTTGATCGGTTTGTTTCATAGCTTTTTGCCGACTGCAAGCTGCAGTACTCCTGCTCCTTGATGAGTCCCGGGGTCGGCGGCAGGGGCGGCAGCCCTTAAATAATTGCATATAGAAATACCCTACCTCCTACTACCATCCAAGCCAGTCGGTCGAACGGAGCAATGTCCTTACGACATGAGAAGCCACAGAAACCACAGGATCCAAGGCCTTGGGCCCACGGCCAGAAGCCGCGCACCTCATCGGGCACAGGTCCACGCTGCAGCGGTGTGGTTTTGGGAGAGTTTGTGGGAGAATGGGGGCGAATTCTATGACAAACATGGGTCCAAACAATGAATGCAAGGCGAAATCATCATGCGGGTACCAGTGTGTATGCAATTGTTTGGATGTGTCTTGCTTACTTGTAGGCAGCTGAGGGTCTCTCATGTTCAGAAGTTTTGGGTTCCAAAGGCCAAAGTCCTGAATCTCAACACCTAGGACACATTTCTGTGCTTCAATCAACCAAGGCCTGAAGGATCAAACATGCAACACGCGAAGGCCGCAGCATCACCTTGCGGATGTTTCAACCATCGCCACAGCTCTCCAAGCAAGTGCAGCAGCGTATGCCATGCAGCTTGAACGGGGCAGTGGTGTCGGACAAGTGTCATCAGTGTAGCCTAGATGTGTGTGTGTGTGTCCACACCTGTTCCTAAGGAATCTGCACTGAACAATTCACCACTGGTGGTCAACTATTTTCGCTGCAGGGGGCATGGCAGCTGTTTCCCTAGCCATGCCAACGAAGCTATGGGATTCAGCCGGAAGGGAATGTGGACGCACATTCCTGTACCTGCACTTTTTAAAGGGCTACTGAGCGATGTTAAACATTTCTGTTCTCCGGACTTCTTCACCTTTCCGTTCCCTCAGCCAAGGTCTAACTGCGTGTAAAAGTCTAATTGCAGTAAAGTGGAACTTCGTCAACTGATTTAGCTCTTGCGAGCATCAATCTAAGTGTGTATCGCCACAGGGTCCCACTGAGGTCTGCTGGTGTGATCCCCAGCCAGGGGAGCAGCATGTGCACATACCCTTATTCCCTCGTCCTGCACCTGAAAACGCAGATCACACGCCGCAGGGCTTACTGAGATCAAACTCCAGCACGGAATTCCTCATGCGGCTGAGTATTCTCATGCGGCTAAGTATTCACATGTCCACGCCATGTGTTAGGTAGTCTAAGGCCCTGCTGCTAAGAATTCACATGTCCTTTTGGTTCTTTTTCTCCTGCTGTTGCTTTTCGATTTCTAGGTCTTTTTTCGTTTTCTAGAGGCTTTTTAGGTGTAACTGAGGTTTTTCAGCGCCGATGACGGCTTCTTTTGCCAGTGCCTTCGGGCCAGTGCAACACCAATGCATGAGCTTTTGCCAGGCCTTCCACCCCAACCCCACCCTACACCCCCTGCACCCTTTCTTTCCTTGCCTTTTTTCGTTTGTCTGGGCTTTCCTTCAGGCTTGTTAGGTCGGCACTTAGGCTCGTCTAATCAATGCGCGCCCAGCCCACACCACCGCACCCCCTTGCACCTTTCTCTTCTTTTCTTGCCTTTTCGTTTGTCTTCTTTCTCTCAGGCTTGTTAGGTAGACATCCAGGCTCGTTTAGTCAACGCACTCCCACACCCTGAACCCCCCCCACCCCGTTCCCGCCGAAGAAAAAGAGGGCGCGCCGTTCCAGCTTCTTGTGTGTGTCTACACCTGTTTCCAAGGAATCTGCACTGAACAATTCACCACTGGTGGTCAACTATTTTCGCTGCAGGGGGCATGGCAGCTGTTTCCCTAGCCATGCCAACGAAGCTATGGGATTCAGCCGGAAGGGAATGTGGACGCACATTCCTGTACCTGCACTTTTTAAAGGGCTACTGAGCGATGTTAAACATTTCTGTTCTCCGGACTTCTTCACCTTTCCGTTCCCTCAGCCAAGGTCTAACTGCGTGCAAAGGTCTAATTGCAGTAAAGTGGAACTTCGTCAACTGATTTAGCTCTTGCGAGCATCAATCTAAGTGCGTGTGTGTGTTGAAGATTCTGCATCATGTGCACTCGGATGAAAAGAAAATCTCAACATGATATACGTAGCAGCATGGCAAATGCTGTTGAAGGAGCCACCTCAGATTATAAACATTGACTGGTTGGCAGCTTCCGGTACACATTCACATGTGACACCACCACAATTGCACATGTGGCCGAAGCCACAGCACTTGGCATTGAAATCAGTCAAGCAGCACACTTCAGTTGCCTTGCATGTTTCTGACGCGCTAAGGCAACTGCATTGGTTTCCTACATCACAAGCATTCCCTCCCGGGTTGCCAGTGTTCTTGCCGGGCATGCATTTGCCATAGGTCTCTGAACAAGTGGGGCCCATCCAGCCATGCATGGCATTGCCGGGGCATGCGCATGTACAGCTCTCCTTCAAGAGCCTGCCTGTTCCACACGACAAGACACATCTACAAGCAAACTTGCCAGTCTCGTCAGCCAGCCATTTCCTGCCTTCACCTTTACAAGTCCGAAAATCTGCCAAGGTCTCCATGGCATGAGCCGCTTCCATCCAGTGCATCTTCTCCAGAATCTCCGAAACCTCTTCCCAATGGTGTCGGTAGATGGTTTTGGAGCTATTGGGGTCACCGCTGAGAAGGAACCTATCCACATCTTCAGCCATCCACTTGCGTGGATCGCACATGAAACTCGCAGAAGGATCACCTCCGGAGAAGGAGCACTCTTGGTGTAGTGTTGTGGATGTCATCTGGCTTCCATGACACACTGATGCAGATGCATCACAAGAAACATCAAAGCGCTTCAAGAAAGGCTTCAGATCTTGGCATAAGTCCACTGAAAAGCAATTCCCAACAGAATCTGTCATTACTTCCACGGACACCAAGAATTTGACTTGTGCCCCTCGCTCCGTTCCAACCTGGACATGGGTCCCGCTCAAACCTGCGCGTGCAGTTTCCTCCTCCCAATGCTCAAGGGAGTCACGATCTCCCATGCCAATAGGGTGCTCTTGCAGCAAGCGCTTGAGGGTTTCGTTGAACTGAGGACTTAGCAGCGAGGGATCATACCTGCAGTGCTCCGCAAGCGTGGGGCCGCAAGCACGTCGCACAAAGGCTGAATAGAAAAATGACTGCCTTTCTTCGCTCAAGCGCCGTGTCTCTGAAAACGAGCCCAAGCTAAAAGGAAGCGTCAAGCCCAAGAATTTGGCCTTCACCCCGAAGTGTAGTGAGAAGCGATCCAACAAGGTTGAGGTTGATTTGTGGAAATCATGTTCCTCAACCCGGTTGTATTCACATTCTCTCTCCTGGAAGCATGTCTCGGGTAGATCTTGATACAATGGTGAGCTTTCTGGAAATTTGGACCTCCACAGATTGGCTGCTGCCAAGTCTGCTGTCATGACTCTGCCGCCGACTGGCGGAGCCGGTGTGGGAGATGGCGGAGCCGGTGTTGGAGCTGGCGGCGGTGATGCATACCAGCAAGCAACAGCCACAACACTGGCCACCGTAGCTAGCGCGAAGAAGACTCCTGAGCTGCTCGGAAGATGGGACTGGAAAGTCACTACAAACACTTCCATTGCAGGTTCCAAATGTTCCAAAAAAATAGAATGGCCTTCCATAGATGGAAAAATATTCAGACCCTGAGTGTTCAGTCTCACAGCCGCCTTATGCCCTCTTACCTCCAAAGCTTGATGTTGCAGCTTCCTTCAGTAGACGTCACAAGGGGTTGAGGTGTTTCGTCCATTCGCCCAAACACTCTCATTCTCACTAAGATAGCCAAGACTGAATTTTGGCTGGCTTTGAATATGCCTGAATCAAATTGAAGGGTTCGGGTTCGTCCAAAGAAAGGACAATAAGATCGTATGTTCTTCTATATAAGACTCTATATAGTCTATATATTTATGAAGTCGGGTTTTAGCCAACCATTGGAAATCATGATTCATTTATTTAGCAAAAATGTTGCAGATTTATTTAGAGAGGGGGGAAGCACCTGGGAATCTATAGTGCTTCACATTAGTGAAATAGATTAGGGTGGGGAAAGCAGTCTGAGACAAGTCCTGAGATATCCTGAGATGCCAGAGAGAGAGAGAGAGAGCAGGCAGACTCCGGTTGCGGTGTGCTTCGGGCTCATGGTTATGCCCGGTTATGCCATATAGCCTATCTGGGCCTATCTCCATTGTTCAACCCCTGTTTGTCGGGTCAACAAGTCACGGTTCAGTAAACTAGTCACTAGTCACTGGTCACACTCCGCTGCCAGCCTATTCCTCTTCTATTCTATTGTGTGAGGGTTTCAGAGTCACTATTTTTTTCTCTATTTTGGATGTCATGATATGGTAGTTTTTTGCTATTTTTCGAGGAAATAGCAAAAAGAAATAGCAAATCCATTAGCAGGTGGGAAATATTAGTGGAACACAATAGTGAGAGACATAGAGCAGGGCAGGGGAACTGCAAATAGTTAGAGCGGGAATAGTGAGAGAAAAAGAGCAGGGCAGGGAAACTGCAAATAGTTAGAGCGGGCCTATAAGCCCGCTCGCTGCTAGCTACTTACTAGCTAGGACCTAGGACCGTGGACTTACAGGGCCACCGAGAGACAGGAAGCTGGGATACATCAGGGCCATGCAAGCTGGGATACGGACACCTCTCTTTTTAGGTTTACTAAACTTTTGATGGTGCTATTTCTCTCTCTAATTAGGTTTACTAAACTTTTGATGGTGCTATTTCTCTCTCTAATTAGGTTTACTAAACTTTTCATGGTGCTGTTTCTCTCTCTAATTCACTTAGCAGTTATTTTGCTAAAATAATCTTTTCATGTCTACCAGTGGTTCCCTGAGCACAGCTTCATAACTATATATAAATATATTATATAAGGGTCCTTTCAATAAGGCCCCTTTCAAGAGGGCCTTATTCAAGGGGTCCAAACATCCCCAAACACCTTCTGTCCCTTTCCAAACGCGTTCATAAGCCAAAGATCTCTTCAATCGAAAGGCCCACCCAGGACGATGGGCTGGAGGCTCGGATTCACGAGTCAAACGCTCAGACATGTGCCACTTGATGAGAGAAATCCACGGAGCGTCCGACTTGTGGCGCCGGATCTTCGACACCGCTGAGTGTTTCAAGCCAAAGCAACAAATGAGTCCAAACCAAACATGTCCAAACATGGCCTGTGCATCTAGACATCTTATTTCGGCAGCTGATAGCTCAAATGTTCTCGGGTGGAGAGTCCGTCACTCCCATGCTACCACACGCCAGAAGCAACGCACCAAGTAACGCACCGGCTTCTCGAGTTCTATCCTATGTTCCCATATCCAGCAATCATGGAAGTGGATGGAGCGCCTTCAGACGATGAAGCGCCTGCTCTGCTGAGGGGATGACTGTCCGCTTCCATCATTGCATGGAGGATACCCTTTCATGCAACCCCTCCCCTGCCGGCCTCTCTCCCAAATGCCCAAGTCTTGTGGCACTTCTAGCGCCAAGTGCACCTGGGAATAGCTGACATGATCTGCAGTTTAAACATGGTGACGCAGAACTTGTATGGAGCAAGTTCGGTAGTAGATCACATGCTCCCTCCGCTGAGCACTGCACCTGTTCAGGCTCCATGTGTGCTCGAGACAGAGTTGCCCTAAACGGGAGTCCTCACCAGCGGACGGAGAAGGTTCCTCACCTCACCGAGACTCCAAAGCGGACCTAACGGAGACCTGCAGGTTGTTGGGTCTTGTACGGCTTTGAAAGGTGTGAACAAATTTTGCATGAGCAATGTCTACCAGATTGATTGTCTTCAACATAGCATATCATTTCGGCCTTTTAAGAGGATTGAACATTGCTACGCATCACACATCACAGTTACGCTGCCCCTATCTCAAGACTGATCAAGTCATTTCCTAGAGCACAACAAAAGAAACGAGTCTTTGCCATCTTCCAGATCTTCGCCCGAAACTGATGCCTCCGATGTGACACTCAGAAAACCGCACAACCAAACTCCGCGTGGGGTGTTTTCCTTTGCCGTACCGGCAACGCCAAACAAATAACAGAATTGATCCAAAAAGTCTACGGGTAGGAACCAAATGAATAGTGAATAGTGCAGGCGCTTCTTCAAAAAGAGTAATGATCCAATTCACTGGCTGAAAAAGCACGCTGGTCTAGCACGCGCGAGAAAAGAGCGCAAATCTTCCTGTGTCCAAGCATTTCACTGGAGCGCTTCGCACCTGCGAATTTGCATGCGAAGAAATGCCGATGAAACAGATGCAATCGCGATGGCACAGATGTGGCAGGGCGGAAGCTACATCTTCAAGCGTGAGAAGAACTGCTTTGAAACATGTGGAAGCAAGGAAGCAATTCCAACCAATAGCCCCAACTATGGGGCAGAAGATTCCCCTACTCTAAGTTGAACATGTGTTAGGTGTCCCCTTTTCTGCTTCAAAATACACCAACCAATCAGCTTTGGTAGAATCTTCATACACTCCCCTGGAAGCATCATGGATGTAGAGTTAACCAGTTTGGTATTCGGAAAATGGTCATCCAAGAGGCCATGCCATCCGCTTCCATGACTATTCCAGAGAGTTTGGAACCATGCCACAGTGTATGCCATGCCATCCGCTTCCACTTTTGCATATCTGTTGTTCTAAACTCTAAACTCTGGACATCTCGGGTTTTCTTTCGTCTTCCGTATCCTTGGGCCTCAACAGCCACCTCTTGAGAGGCCGCCAGGAGAGCTGACCTTGGAGGGCTAGGCTTCCCAGCAAATCGGCATGTAAAGACCTGATTCCATGGTGTGAGGTTGGCTCTGGTTAGAAATTGAGGATAGGATAGTCGAGTATGGATGTAGCATGATGTAGCTGATTGTAGATGAATCCTGTAAAGGTGTGCGTTCAAAGGGAATCAAACGTTGCAGCCTGAATCTTCGGGCCGCGACAAATCCACCGGGACTTCCAAGTCGCACCTGAGTGACATAGTGGATCAGATTCCATGAACGAGTGGCCAGGGGGATTTTCAGTCAGACACATTGGATGTCATAGGTCTCTTCCATGGGCTCCCTCTCATTTCCAGAACTAGCTTGAGTCATTCAAAACAGGGGATGTTTGCGAAGATTCATTTTTTGGGGATGTGTACATGGAGTGAAAGAAACATGTCTTTGACACCACATTCGTGCTTCAAAAAGCGTTTGAGATTAGGTTGTGCGAAAGGAACAGAATTGGAATATTTAATTGGATTCCTTTCTTCATTGTTGGTTGAAGAATGCCAACCATTCCTTCTTCATTGTTGGCCTTTCACTGTTGGTTGGTTGATACATGTTTGATACCCCTAAGTGTACAACAAATAGGTTTGCTGTACCTGACTTCTCTATTGTTCCGAAACGGACATCGCCCTTCATTGTGTCATTCTCATCTCCACCAGGGTCTCCGGTCGTTTCATCAGGAATCTGCAGGTATACCTCAGTACGATCATGTACGATCAGCACAAAATGTTTTCGGAGACAATTCCAGGAGACCCTTTTCGCTGCGGTCATTGATGAAAATGCAATGCCTCCTTGTTTTTTTAATCGTCCCTGAGATCGCGCTGCGTTCGATCTCTGTGCCACAAGACCTATTGCGCTGCAAAGCTTAAAGCTTTTACCTTAGATTGAGATCTGCCGTGATCGAGAAGAGACCGAAACTATGCTGCACGACCTCGTTTCATCAAGGCCCTCACGTGAAGATCAGACAACGCCTACGCTGGCATAGAAAAAGAAGGGCTCTTGTGTGATAGTTGCTTCAAGCTAGACTTGAGGCCAAGGGGGGGCGAAAGCTAGCGCTCCAGAATGGGAAAGTGGAGGGCAGCGAGGTAGGAAAAAACACGGCGCTCTTTTTGGAGGCAGGGGTGAAGAGTCCTTTATATGTGGCTCTTTGCCCGGATCCTCCTGCGAGAGAAGAGAGAGAAGAGAGACGGAAAGACGAGAGACAGAGAGGAGAGAGAGAGAGAGAGGAGAGAGAGATGAGAGAGATGAGAAAGAGATGAGAGAGATGAGAGAGATGAGAGAGACAGTGAGACAGTGAGACAGTGAGAGAGTGAGAGTGAGAGTGAGCGAGTGCGGCCGCAAGATATCAGGGGGTAGGATTTGCACCCGGTCGAAAGAAACCTTGCTATCGCAAGAGTAACTCCAGCTAGCTTCGCTAGCTTTCGTGAAATCTTGAGTGGTCTCAAGTGAATGTCCAGGTGATTTGCTGGCTTCACATGAAGAACATGCCAAGCCCAAACATATTCCTGTTGATACATCCAACACCATCTAACAAATCCCAAGACACACACATACACAAGCGTCACCAGCTAGTGAGGAGCTACCTTGGGAACTCTTGGTCTTCTAAAGCAATTGTTTCTTTCCAGGCAAACAGGGATCGTTGGGAGGAAGAAGGTCCTTGTAATCTTCCATGATCCTGGACCTAAAACCTCTCTCTCCCACTGAAAATGAATCTCCGAATCTGTGCAGGTCCTTCCAGCATTCCTCCCAGCAGGGGTAGATCTGTCCAGCCAATCCCGGCGCCGGGCAGTGCCTCCTGAAGCTCCTCCCAGCAGTCCACCAAAGGGAACCTGAGTGATCGCCGCGAGTGATCAAAGGTCCAACGGGCACCATCACTATTAGGTTGGAGGCCATTACTACTAGTAGGAAGAAGCTACTAGGGTGGAGGCCATCGCTATTGGGTTGGAGGCCATCGCTACTAGTAACAATAAAGCAGATGCCTGATCCTCGTGGTACGTACCTCCGGTGTCCTCCACAAACGATCAGGAATCCACAACTGAAACAGGAACCTCTTGGTGAAGGAAACTGGTCCAAGGCTAAAGGGGGGCATCATACTCCACCTGTGTTTGTCCGAGGAGCATGGCTTTGCTTACCATAAATGTGGTAAAACTCTGGCGCATTCCCTCGAAAAGTCGGGGGCCTCCTCTAGTGTCTTTGAACCATTTGGGGCAATCAGCAATTTCTGGGAGATCATGTCTGTCTTCAAGCCTCAAAAGTTGTGACATCGAACCTGACAGTTTGAATTAACAACCAGCGTATCCCAGCAATCCCCCAGCAAAACTGGAACTGTATAAATTATATAAATAATAATATGTTGCATTCAAAAGGATGGATGGTTGAGACTGAGCACTTGCGTGAAGAGCCGTCCGAATCTCAGGTGCCCACAAGTACTTCACTCCAGGCAACTCCTTTTCAAGCCTCCAATCAACAGGAACAAAGGAAAGTGCTGAGTCCTACCTCTATGTCCAACCGTTAGCAGCCGTGAATCAATATATGGATGTATTTGCGGCGAGCTACTTCGCTACTGACTCCTTGAAGGGCCGTCAGCGTTGGCACTTGAAGAGCTGCCAACATATTACTGCTTGCTGCACACTACGAGTACAAGTGCTTCTCGATTAAATCTTACATTGGCGCCAGTCTCGTTGATGCCATCCTCCAAAAAAAGAAAGGCCAATGTGCCAATGGCCAATGGCTTGTTGTTCTCCTCTGCAAACAAAAAGAAGTTGCCAACAGCTCCTCGTTGTCGTCGATGATCCGTTTCCGTCCTCTTCGACCGCGCTTTTCGAACCTGGAGCTGTTCGACAGGGAAAGAGGAGCTTCGACCTCAAAGACAATCGATCAACTGCCGAAAAGATCAGGTCGACTGGCCGTCCTCCAAGGGGGGCTACGGTCGACTGGCCCTTTTTTTTGCCCATGAATATCATGAATGCCATCGATTTCCAACGGTTCATGATTCATGTTGGTGACTTATGATTACAATTATGATTGTCAACTCACAATATATGGCATGCACGAAAATGTCCCTCAAAAACGAACAAAGGGTCAATGTTGTGTCCTTATGATACCAATCGTAGAAGACCCAAGTGCCAGAAAATGTTTGCCTGATGAGCTCCAGCCAAGTTACACTATCAAATCGCAGCTGCAGTTGGGAGTCAGCTGTCCTACGAAGTTCACGGCGTTGGACAGGGACAAAAACGACGACACCGAAACCCTCCCGTGTTGATCTATAGACACCGTGAAGGCATAATTGGGTCCCCAAAACTGTCCCTCCAGAACTGGCTGGATGCCTCTACAAGTGAAAAACAGTGAATAACAAATCACCAAGTCACGGTTTCGAGGTCCATGGTGAAGAATCAGGTAGACGAACAAAGCTAGCCACTGATGAAGACGGGTACCGTGATGTGATGGCATGTCGTTTGTTTTTTTTTCAAGAGGGGAAGAATATGTTTGCTTGAGATCACATCAGCAAAGGCCCTTCTGGACCCTTCGGACGATCTCGGACTGCTCCCGCTCATCTCCTCGCTTCCCTCAGCAGGTCTTTTGCACACAGCACAGCACCTGGCGTCGTTCCCCGAGCGTGTCCCGGCAGAAATCTGAAAACATGGGGGGCCATAACCACAACTGTACTTGCCGCTCAACAAAGAATTCCACCAACAGGTCTTGCGAGTCTTTTCATCTATACAATTCGGTTGGTCACTGGTTGAATAATTACTGTTGATGAGCGAGTCCCACAACTTCCAGTTTCAAGATCTTTTCAATTCTTTCCCCACATGAACATCCCCCGAGGAAAATCCTCCGTTGAGCAATTTTCCCAACCGCCAACCGTGGCATTTGATGGCACTGTCGCAGGCTGAGTCTGGCCTTCATGAAGTTGCAAGTCCAACACAAAGGCCTGTGACCTCGGGACCAAGTCGGCAGACCCCAGATTAGCGCAGAAGGGGAGATGTGGGAGATCCCCCACCCACACCAATCTGAAGCATCCACAGGCGGACAGGGAGCGGCATCCGCTTGTGGGTTAAAAATTCAAAAAAAGAACAGAAGAAAATTGGGCTTCTCAAAGCAGCTCTTCAAAGTGGCTTCAACATGAATCACCTAGTTTTGCAGGCTCATTTGGGACCCGAAACATTCTCCCACCAGACCCCTTCTGCTTTCCAAGTTGTTCCACCAGAACTGCTCCTTTCTGGGCTGCCCGTGCGGAGGCTCGGTGCCCAGGCCCTGAATCGACGAGCTGCGGCTTCTGTTTAGGGTGTCTTCGAGCCATGGTAGGCCTTTTCCATGTTTTTGCATGGAAAACGTGTTTTTTCAACATCTCAAACCTTGGGTCTGCCATTGTTCAAACCAAACTTCTGGGTCCCATGTGTCTGCTCTTCATTGCCATTCCTCACGTTCGCATCTCTGAGCTCTGTATAGCTCTGCCTCCGGCACCGTCTCTTTGGCCAAGTCGATGAGCTCCAAGGAGATGATGGCAGAAGACCCGCCTCGAGCGAGTGGACTACCCTGGTCGTCCGGAAGCGAGTGGAGTCTTCGTCTGACCCGAAAAGCGGCAAGGACGGTCAGAGCTCGGAGACGGCTCCTTGAAGGACGACCTGGAAAACCGATCCAAACCCAATCAGGCAGGTTTGTCAAGCAAATGAAGATCAACTCTGGCATTGTTGGGGGCTTCATTAGGATCTGTAATGGTCTATATATATATATACTATATAGTGATGTATGTAGTTTCAACCTGCAGTATTCTTTGCTTGAGAACTTCCCCCCCACACAGCTACCCCTAGCTTTTTCATGAAACTCAGACGCCTAAGCCAGCTGTTCATTTTCCTTTGCAGGACTCTGTACATTCATTCTACTGCAAAGGGCACGACCTCTGAGACCAAATGGGCTCCTGCAGTCCTTCAGGTATCTTCCGACTCAACTTGTGCTCGGAGTTCTGCTGAAACCAATCCGCGGAAGATCTCCAAACTTCACGGCAAGCCTGTGTCCACCCTGGCAGGAATGGAGGCATTGCAAAACGAGTCGATGTTCAACAACGCGGCGCTTGCACCAGGAAAAGGATGCATTGCAAAAGAATATCTCAGGTCTTTCTCGCTTGTGGTTGAGTTTCGTTTGGGTGCTTCGCTTTGGTCTAAAAAATACAAAAACACTCCCTCCAAGCCTTCCCCTCGAAGCCGTCGCTCCAAACCTTCCTGCTCCAAACCGTCGCGAGTGACGTAGGGCATCAGGAGCAAAGCCGCTGAGCGTTGCCTCCGCCGTCAACTCGAACGTGACATGATGCGGTTGGATTGCTCGTTCTGCTTTTTTTTTTGGGTGGCTCAGTGGTTTGATATGGAAGGCGGAAAGTGACGGGAAGATTGGGAAAGATGGTGTTCTTCTTATCAAGTGCGGTTACAAAAGAGTTGTTCAGTGAGCAGCCTCATAGAGGCTGGCATTGCTGTCGAAATGGACTTTTGGCGATGGATGTCTTGCAAGGTGCGGCAAGTATGCCGTGGTGCACATCCCGTTCCACTCCTAGAACCTGCAGTTCTTCCAACAGCACAGTGGTGCGCTTCAAGACTCAAGTTGGTCACTGTGAGGCTCTTGACTCTTGTCATCTTTCAGAAGTCACTCAGTCACTCCGTTGTGCCAAGTCACAGAGCAGGCTCGTTGCCTCCCAAAATCTCGGAAAGAACCATGGCAAGATCTTCAGTCAGCTCGGACATGAGGTCTCCCAGCAAAAGCAGCAAGGACGCTTGGACTTCGGGATTGGGCACCTTAGAAAACACGAGGACAAAAGGTGTCCAAAACCACAGGCTCCAGCGGCTCCCAGCGGCTCCCAGTGGCCCCGGCACAATTCATCCGGAAACCCTACAAATGTGCACTGATTGGTTGAGATCACCTTATAACTTATATATACATATATACCTGAGAAGGGAGGGGACGAAAACCAGCCTTTGCGCCAAGGGGGGTGCCCTCAGGGTTAGCTTGGCGTTTCCAGGCATGGCCGCCTTTTTTCGTCTTAGGTCAGGGGCGTGTTGGAGGGTAGTGTGGAGAAAGAGTAGCTGGAAGTGGTGAAGTTGACATCGCAGGTAGTCTCATAGGAGGTAGAATCAGAAAGTATAGTACACAGGTTCGCGGGGGGTGCCCTTTTTCGTCGTGGTTGGGGGTCGTATTGGAGGTGAAAAAGGGCACCCTCGAAGGAAGTGAGGGGTGGTAGCTTGCTGTGTGGTGCCAACCAGTGAGCAAAGATGGTTATGGGGGGTCAAGGGGCGAGGTTATCGGGAGACTTTCGGGAGGAGACATATATGTGTATAGGTAGAGTAGAGACAGAGTTGCCGGAAGTGGTGAAGTTGATATTGCGGCCCCTTGAGCGTGCAAAGATTATCTTTGTGAACATCGGGCAAAGCGTACCTTTATGTGGTGACGTCGATATTGCAGACACTTGCATAGGAGTAGAAAGAGAAGGTAGAATACATGTTGGGGGGGTGCCCTTGTTCGTGTTGGTGGATGGCCGTTTCGGAGGTGAAAAAGGGCACCCCTAAAAGGAAGTGAGGGGCGGTTGCCTGCTGCGTGTTGGCAATCAGTGGGCAAAGAGGGGGGGAGCCCGTGGGCGAGGCTAGCGGTACTTATGTGTATACAGGGAGAGTGGACAAGGAGTAGCTGGATGTGGTGAGGTTTGGCAGGGAGTGCCCTCTTCAGTATGGCAACTAAAAAACTGCGCCCCCGCTAAGCTTGCCCGCAACTGCAATCTGTTCTCCTTCCTTGTGAAAAGTCCCCTTGGCTTCCCTTTCCTCTCATGCACGTGAAGTCCCACCCCGAGTAAAAACAGTTTACGTGGCCTCCTAAGCCCCTCATGATGCTGATGATGCACTCTTCGCCGTCAATTACATCACCGGCATCACAACCCTCAAACCACTCATTTTTCACTACCAAGTGGCCCACCAGTTTGTTTCGCTCTCCCCCTCCAGGCTCTGGGTTCACCTCTCCAAAATGTAGCCACCACGCAACTACCCCCCCCACACCCCTCCTTTACTCACTTCGTTCGCTCCAACAACCTCAAGCCCAGCCTACCAGCTGGCTTTCGTGATATATATATATACAGTATATACATTGGTGGGGCTCACCCTGAAACACAGAAATGCCGCCCCACAAAGTCTCTAAGTCTTGCGCGCAATGAGTTCACTGCTCGGTGGCGAGAAAAAAGGACAGTTGGAATCCCCACAGTTCCCCGAACCACCTCGACCTCGCCAATCTTTTGCCTACACAACTCCAGGTGACCGATCGCAAGAACTGGGGCAGGACAGCCAGCACCCAAGACTTTTGCTGGGACTTCAAGAGCTCTATGGCCGCAGTGCAGATGTACATGTTGCGATCTCTCAAGTGCATGGGAAGCTCCTAAGCTTCAAGATGGGCACCGCCAGACGCGAGACTTGGCTCAACAAAAAGACTCTGCAACGTTTCCGGTCGGGTTCCAAAAGCATTTCAAAACCCACTTGCAACGGGCGAGTGGTGTGATTGTTTTCCATTTGCAAAGCCGATTTTGGGATGAACGCGGTGAAAGGTTCCACGTCTCTCAATATTTTAGTCGATGCTTTCTGGAAACAGAGATTTCCGGGGGGTCTATGGCGAGACCAAGTGCATAATTAATCATTTTTCCGAGGTGTTTCTAATTTGCCCGATCATGTCAGCACATTTACGCCAAGTGCCTCAACGAGCACGTCATCGAGAGGGCTCATCTTCTGCAAACCCCGCAGAGCCAACAACCGGACGTTCATGAAGCCTTCCTGAACAGTGGCAGTTCCAGATCTCAGGGGTGTTCCGTGAGTTGACAATTGATCAGCATGCACCGCAGGTTTCCCCAAAAAGATCGAGGGAGGCTTTCCAGAAATCCTCTGAAAGCCTGTCGGTCAGCAAATCCGTGAACCCGTGGAAAGGTATATATATATATAAAGCATTATAAAGCAAAGCCTGACGCAATTCGAGTCACCCGGTCTGGATCCCGAAGAAGCTGTAGAAAGCAGGTCAGCAACGCATGATTACCTGGTGCAATACAGCAAGTGGGTGCGTGATCTAGTAGGGAGACATCCAACCAATGGATTTCGGTCAATGTTCCTTCTTCCAGGAGGTCTTTGGGAGGTCTCCCAATCTTAATACACATCCAATGTGTGCGTCATCAGTGTAGAAGTGCCACGTGATTGGGCTGCTATTGACATCATTCATTGCCTGGGCCTAAGCACGTCCCAATGAGCAACACAGGGCAAAATACAAACAGATATTGATTTTGAAAATGAGAAGCACGGAGTCAGCCATGCTTGGTCGGCACCCTTCTGGATCCCCCCTGCTTCACCCAAGTCTGCCTGGTTGAGCAGAGGAGGTCAGCTCCTCAGCCACCACTTGGCGGAGCTCTGAGTCTTGAGATGCCAACAATTCGAGCAAACGCACGCGTTGGCCTGCAGTCGGTGGATTGGTGTGGAATGAGGCAGGGTTTTGCAGTTGGCATTTGGGCTCTGGGACTTAGTGAGCTTTGGAGTGGAAAGGAAGTTGATAAGTGATTTCGGGTTTGAGTCGGGGTCCAAGCTAGTTAGTTAGTTACAGCAATGTTTTTTTCGACACATTGAAAGGATCTTGTCTCTCAGTGACAAAGTAAGAATGGCCAATTCAGGTCATGAATGTCCAAAGCTTGAATCCAATCCCTGAAGAGCTAGCAGCTTCACAGGACTTCTTCTGGAATTCATACAGGAAATCCTCTGCTTGGTTGAAACAAACACGGTAGCCGCGCCGTACCACCCTATCCAACCACACCTGCGCGGCCAAAGAGCTTCACTGAGAAGCGCGGGTCTAGTGCCAGCCTGAGGGAAGTTCATTTGGCCAATAGTTTTGAGGCGGGTCGGGCTGATACCCTCCTCAGAGCTCTTGCACCCTCAAGAAGACCACGACCACCACCATTTGGGCTAATTGGTTTTATCATCATGCTTTAGCCATCCCACATCTCACGACAGTCTGTTTCTACCCTGTGCTTTCCAGGTCAAAAAAAATGCCTTTCTGCCTGGTGACATACTCTCAGCCAACTCCATGACCTCTGCGTCACGGGCCACTTCTACAATGGCGTCCACGGCCACAGAGCGGACGAGGGCATTGACATCCTGACAGCTCAAGCAACATGCACTTCCTAGCATATGCCCTGGAGATGGGTCACCACCAACAACCTACAAGGTCGAAGCCAAAAAAGACATGTGAGTACTGCCTAAGGACATAGCCTAGAATGAGTTGGCCCGTATCGTTTATGCGGTTTTGTGGGTTAGCCAAAAAGGTATCAGATAGGTCGGGCCCTATCGGTTATGCAGGTTTTATGCAGGGGTCCTATCCCACCTCCACGGTGACTACTTAAGTCTTCGCAGATTCTGTCCGATGTGGGACAAAACCCTGCACAAACCCCCTACTCACCCCAAGAGAGGAACAGCGACCAAAAGGATGTTCACATATTCGAAGGTTGCCCTTCACCCGTAAA